TCCGCGGCCCACTCTCCCATGTCTTGCCCCTTCCGGTGGTGGAGCACGCACGCCCCGACGCGCTCGGCCAGCGTTGCGAACACCTCGTTCTGCACCACCACGTATCGGGTCGACATGGTATCGATACCGTTTGCGCGCCGTCGCATCCGTGCGACGGCTTCCTCCGCGTCATCCTCCAATAAGATAATAGTCCGGATGCTGGACAGGGGTGCCCAGACACCCGCTGGCGTTTCCCGGATGACCCTCCGGGCCTCCTCCAGGGTACGCTCGCCGGCCATGACGGACCCCGGTCGTGGACGTGGTTCGGCCACAGCTTCCCCCACTGATAACTAAAATAAGCTAATTCCAGGAATTTATCCTGGGCCTTGCCCCGGAATAGCGGGTGCCTCCCGCAATCCTCCGCGTAGTCTCCCACGACCACGGCGTATCCTTCGTCCTTCATCCGGGACAGCAACGTTGACTTCCCGACGCAAGCCGTCCCGTCAACCGCCACTGTCCGCGCGAAACCTTTACCTACTGCCGTCACTGCTCCTACCTCCAGTTTACCACTTTCCATTGCCTCCTTGCACCCTCTCTTCTTTTCTTTTTTTTTCTTCCGTTCTGTCCTCCTTACTCCCCGCGGGCCCTCTTCCTGGGCGGCTCCCTTGCCGCGTCCTCCCGCTGGGGAACCTCCTCCTTCACCGCTATCCTCCCTTCGTCCTCCGCGTCTTCCTCGTCCGGGCCGAGGTCGAACCGTTCCACGGGTCGCTCCGTTGGCTCCGCCTCCTCACGGACCTCCACCGCGGCCCGCAATTTCTCTTCCAGTTCCTCCGCCGAGATCTCCACGCCCTCCAGGCGGTACTCGGCTACCCAGGTGGCGACCTGGCGCCGGTCTCCGGGACGTTCCACCCTGCGGACCCGAGTCACGTGCCGGTCTTGCACCCGACCCGTCAGCAGGTCCCTTGTTGTCACCCGGTGGCCCTGCGGGCTCACCTGCTCCACCTTCTGGGGCAATCCCCAATCCTGACGGCGGGCCGTGGCGTCCCTGACGACAACGATGTCCCCTCGTCGTAGCTCCAGGGGCCGCCGCCCGGCGTTCCTTCTGTCGGCCCCCCTTCGGGTCCGCCCCTCCATGGTCTCGATGGTCTCGTCGCGCTCCTGCGTGAGCCAGCGGTACCGCTCCACGTTGCGGTCGATGAGGCGCTCACTAATCTCCAGTTCCTCGGGGGTGGCGATCCTAGTCCCAAATAGCCACCGCCCGGGCGTCTCCTCTAGTGCCGTATGACAGGTGGTCCTGTACAGGAACATGGTGAGTGCGAGTGTCTCGTGCTCCCCCAGCCCTGTGCGCACCCCGACCCTCCCGTAGTGTTTCCGGAGGTGCCGGTGGAAGGACTCCACTGGGCTATTCCCCTCCGGGTGGTAGGGGGTGGTGAAGATGAGGCTCGCCCCGAGCAGCCGAGCCAGCTCCTGCGTCACAGCCCCCGTGAAGGCCTTATCGTTGTCGCAGACGATCTGACTGGGCACCCCGTACCGGGAGA